TTGAAGTACTCCAACAAGCTCTTTAAATTTAGAATAATGCTATACTGTTCACTGCAGCACTTGCTCTATGTGGCACACACATATCAAGTGTGAATTTAATGCATTAATGTGGTAAAAAAAAACTACCACATTAATGCCTCAAATAAATACATGTCATGTGTGTGCCACATAAGGCGACTGCTGCAGTGAGCGACTATGAATAGCATTACTCTTAAATTTAACACTTAATTTTACTAGTCCCAAAAATATTTATTATTTTTGTTTATCTTTTATTTTAACTAGCTTTTTTTTACATTATTTTATTGTTTTCATACATTGAAAATTGAAACACTTTGAATGCATTTAATTATAGAGAGTGAGTTTGACTCTCTTGGAGCATAATTTTAAATGGTGACTCTTTAAAATAGAGAACATCTCGTGTTTAAAGAGCTTCTTGGAGATGCTCTAATCCATCCAATGAATGACAATCGATAAGCATTAATTGCACAACCATAAAAACTAAAGCAGCCTGCATTACTTGCAACCTCCGTGACTTTTCAGGTAAGGCACAAGGCCCTATTTATACGCTCACATGTGATTCTGAGAGTAACCAGTTAACAAACTTTCCCAAATCTCAAGCAAGGTTTATGGTAATTAGTTTTCAATTAAAATGGAGCATAAATCACTATATTCTTTAATGCTCCAATTAAAATCTGTTTGCAAGGTTCGCCTAGCATGATAAATGCGACAGAAATATGTGCGAGTCAAGATTTTTCTTAGCGAACCAGATTGAATTACTCCTACTTGGATCCACCCAATACCCGCGTTGTGTCAAAAAAGTATTCATCTAGTCGACTTTAAGTTTATCAAGAATACATGTTTGTTAATATGCTGGTTATAAATACAAGAGGTTATTATGCGTAGAAATGGGAAGATATTTATCAAAATCTCTTCTGATGAGAAGAAACAATTTTATAAAATTAACCAAATATCAAAAAGTATCTCCAGGGTCTTAAAAGTTCATATTGGCTTTTCAAAAACCATGTCAAACGAGTCCCAAACCCATTTTCATGTCTTCTTGACGTAGAATTTAACTGTAGGGCATTGAGGATCTTAGAATAAGATCAAAGCATGCTAAAATTTCCCATTAGGTTTTTTGAATTCTAATGTCGTTTTGAAGCGTTTTGCACTATTTTGGCTTGGTTTTTGCACATTTTCATGCATGGTGATTATAATTCTATATATATGAGTGTTTCTTGATTGAAATCAAATTCCAAACATCAAATTGATTTCATTACATCCAAAATCTGAGATCAAATCAAGCTTTATAACTTTGTCCTTTAGTTCAATTTTTCAAGGTTTGTTTGCTTGATTCAAATTTGGATTAAAGTTTGTTTACCTATTTGCCATAAAAGTTTTTAAACATTTACCCCCACAATTATCGTTTGAGGACAGCGATTCATAATTGAGTTCAAACCTTCCATTTTGGCGATTTCTTGTTGCTGGTTTTATTTTCTTCTTCTTCATAAGCTTTTCTCAACAATTATTGCATTAAAGATGCTCCAAGAAGCCTTAATTGCACAACCATAAAACTAAAGCAGCCTGCATTACTTGCACCCTGCGGCTGCGTGACTTTACAGGTAAGGCGCAAAGCCCTCTATATATGCTCACATGTGATTCTGAGAGTAACCTGTTAACAAACTTCCCCAAATTTCAAGCAAGGGTTATGGTAATTAGTATTCAAGCGTAAATCACTATATTCTTTAATGCTCCAATTAAAATCTGGTTGCAAGGTTGCCAAGTGAACCGAATTGAATTACTACTACTACTCGGATCCTCCCAATACCGCGTTGTGTCAAAAAAGTATTCATCTAGTCGACTTTAAGGGCCTGTTTGGTATAGATTTTGATTTTCTACAGCAAATCAATTCTCATTTTCAACCACACATTTTTCAATAAAATAATATTTTCCATCACATCAATAATTTTTTCTTCTTTTTCAACCAGACATTTCCCATCATATTACTATTTAAAATCAGTTC